AGAATTTACGGAAATTAACTAACGAACGGAGGCGTAACATTATTATCAATCTTATATATATATACACACACACTATTATTATTTCAAAAGTGCATTCAGTTATTATTAGTAATGTTTTTATTTGTTAGATATATAGTTATCTATCTTTATATATATATATATACACACGTGCACATGTTTCTATTATTTAATATTTAATAACATACGGTGTCAGAAACTTTTTTGTTTCTCCAATATACGTGCCATATTATACGAACACCTCAGCCACGAAATAAGCTTGTCAAACCTAAAAGGGTAAGGCTGGTGTACGCGGATGGGTTATGCCATGTGGATTAGGATTTTTTACTTTTAGTCGATTCCACATTAGGCTGCTGTACTATAAAATGTGATTGGTAGTAAGGTTGAAGTCAGTTCAATATGCTGTAAAGCTTGAGGTATTGTTTTAATTTTTTAAAATACATCTATCTAAAATGTTCTTATAGTAACGTTTTTAAGTTAAATTTTCATTCTCGCTAAATTTCGCGTTTTAAGATTCAACATTTTGGGTAATTGAAGTATTTATAATTTCATTTGTGTTTGTGAATTAATTATATTATTATATTTATACGTAACTTCGTAAGTCAAGAAGTTGAGTTCAATCTCTTCTGATACAATTTTCAACACTATTCATTACTTCATGCACCACCAAAAAAAGAATGCTCCTGGTACCATTAACTTAACTGTCAACGCACTATCGTATCCTAGGCTATAGTATAAGTAACAATTCCGGTCTTATTCTCTTCGCCCCCCTCACTTTTCAAAGCTTTTTTTTTTTTTTTTTTTTTATCCCAAATGTACATTTATTGTCTTCTTTCTTTCTTTTATTGACTTCTACGATGGGATACTGGGAAGATAAGAGTTGTCCAAACAGGATATTATAAGGAAATTAAGGGTATTTGAAGAAAAGGCTGGCTACAAATGTAAAGATTAACAGTAAGAATTTCTTTAAATATTCTAACTGTAAGCAAGATTTTAGAATAAAAGTTGGGCGTTTTTGAAGATTTTTAAAGGAGACTCGTGTATTTCTAATAATTAAGGTGGATGGATTATTAAATTATATTTTTCTTCAATTTTTTACTAACAAAAGATTTGGCCTATTCCTCATTCAAAACAGTTGTTAGATGGAAACAGGATGATCACATTAAATTTGAGATTGTTAATGAAAAGATTATGAAACTTAAATAATGATAAATCTTTTGAGAAAGTTAGTATTTCTTTTGAAATACTAGGTTTTTAGGAGGTTGAGGATTGGATACGTGAACCACTTGCTACTATTTTGTGAATATTTGAAAAATGGGAAGGTGCAAGGGATTAAAAGTTGGATAATGTTTTTTTTTTTCTTTTAAGGGAGGTAAGAGGTAATAAAATATTTCTGGGTAATTATAAGCTTGTTAGTCTTGCATAAATGATTGGGAAGTGTTTGGTAAAACTAAAATATACTTTGCAAAGTTATTTTAAAATGTTTAAAATTTTGGATAGTCAACATTGCTTTACTAGGGAAAAATCTTGTCTGATAATATTTTGACATTCATTGAAAATGCTATTACTTGTGTAAGGAGTATTGATTTGATATATCTAGATTTTTAAAACGTATTTGATAAGATACCAAATAAAAAAAGGTTTCTTAATTCAGCTACGAAGGTGTGGGGGATAAGTTGACTCCTTGGATAGAAAAGTGGCTGGATGGAATAAAGCATGGCATTGTTAGCACTGGATATATCCAGTTAAACTGGATGAATGTTACAAGTGCAGTACCTCGGGGCTCATTGTTAGAACTTGTGCTTTTTACGTTAAGGGAGATGGTCAATAAATTTCTTAAATTAGCTGATAATATTAAGGTCTTTATTGTTGCTGGCTGTAAAGATGCTACTTCTTTACAAAAGAATCTGTATTATTTAGTGAGTTTTTAGTGAATAAATGGGCTTTAATAATAATAGATAGAAGGTAATGTGGTAATGCATGTATGTTATCATAATTTAAATATAATTTTAATAGAAATATCCTTAACGGTGTTTCAGAAGAAAAAGATCTTTGCATCTTATTTGTCAGTCTTGTGAGCTATCCAAGTAGTGTTCTGTTACTACTGTTAAGACAAATAAGATTTTAACTACAGAAACATTTAACATAAACCTGAAGAGATAATAAATTTTGTGTGGGTCACTATTTAACATTTCTTGGAGTATTGTGTTCAGTCTTGGGCTTCTTAGTCCTTGACATTGAATTCAGTTATTTGTCATTAGACAGTATTTGGCCTGTTATATTTTTAAAGACTGTAATGTTTCAAGAATTGGAAGAGTGTTTATAATAATAATAGTATTTCTACCACACTATATTTGCCACATCAATTACCAATGAGTTGTTTCATTCAATCCAGAGCTATTCAAGTCAACTAAAATCCAACAAAAGCAGTTGTTGGCAATGGATATGGTGAATACAGTATAATTTGGGAAAACAATTTGTTGTGTATATTCTCCTAATGCTTAAATTTTTAAGGGACTAGGTGAAGAATGTATTGTGCCTATTATATACTTGTAATATCTTGTACTGAGAGTAATTATAATCATGCTCTGTCTACTTGGAGAAGATGTTCACACTATAATGAAAACATTGGATTATCAAAGAGGGTTCAAAGTACTGGTACTATAATGATACCTGGGATAGGTTATCATACAAGAATAGATTAAAAAAAAAAAAAATTCTGAAAGTGTTGGACATCTGATTGATGTAATTGAAGATTGTTAAGGGAATTGATGATGTCATTGCATCATCTGTTGATGGGACAGTCAGGTTACCATTGGCCCTCTTGTTGTTAAATGTTGATAATTTTTTACTCTCTATAACCAGTCTGCTTGCTCATTAATTGTATAATTTCAGTTAAATTTATTTCAGTTTATAAATTAAATTGTACATGAATCTAATGCCAAAGCCCAATTATTAACTAATAAAATGTACACCATGTTTTAAGATGTACGTAACTAATTGTCAACTTAAATAACTTGGTAATGTATTAAATTAAGGTAATACTTGTCATTAATTCTTTATTGGGATCTAACATTTAATAACTGGTATCCCATAACCTAATACTACTATTCTTATTACAAACACTAATGTAAGACCTAACAGTCTAGTATTAATTTTAATGTTGTAGATTTAGGCTTTCGTATACATGCATCTACATTATTTACTTCTTTCTTCTCTCTCAATAGTAACACTATGGCCATAAAGAAACTGGATTATTCACAGCGATCACTTGCCTTCATTTCTTTGGCTCTTGGGTTTCTTGTGATTTGGACAGCAGTTTTAGCAGGTGTCTTGGTGTCTCAAACCCTTAAAGTATGTTCTATTTTAAGTTGAACATGTTAATTAATTATTTTTATCTCTGGCTAAAGCTTTGTGTCTGGCAATTTTATTTTAGATATATTATTGAAAATAAAGACTTGGTGTACTGTTAAAATTGTCAATTTGTGTGCATCAATTGAGTTTCATCTTTAATTCCTAAGGGCGGGAGAATATTAGTATATTAATGTTAACGATGAACAAGTGGTCAATGAGACCATCTTAAAGTGGTACAGTTAAAGCCATCTATGGTAGCAAGAAAATATATAATTAAAAGCACGGTAAATAATTCTCACCATAAATTGGTAAGTTATACTCTGATTACCAGCTAGCAATTACTTATAGTTCATGGTTACCGTTCAACTGAAAATCAAAATGTCATGTGTTAGACAACAAGAGAAGTCACTGAAACTCAAACTTGTGCAAAATTTCATTTTCAGGATTATAAGTTCTTTTACAAAAGTAACATGTTTATTATGTCAAAGCTTATCTAAAGCACTGCTTAATGTATTTTTATTTTATAAATATTATTATTATAAACCTTAGTTTTTGTAATTATTATTTTTATATACATTTTAAAACCTTGTTCTTATTATTAAAGTTGCTACAAATAACTAAACTGTGTGTTATTTTTTTTTTTTGTTTTTTTTTTTTTTTTGTCTTGCTAGTTCATAAGTAAATATTTGAAAATAATACATTTATTATTACTTTTTAGGAAGAAGGAATTGCAAAACAGACTAACGGTTTATTTATTATACATGAAGATATTGGAAAAATTTCCTTTGCACTTGGACGTGAATTAGGTAAATGACTATTATGTAGAAAAGACTTATCCTTTTGGAAAAATTTACATCAATATTTGATAACATTTTTTTTTCATAATACAAACTGTGAACTATTTTTCCTCTTCTTCTCCCCCCCCTCCTTTATGTAAGTTGTTAGTGTGTTTTTTTTGTTTTTTTTAAACTACTTTTAAAAGTTATATTTTAAAAGGCAAAATATTTATTTTGAAACATAACCTGAAACATCCTTTATTTCTCCAACTGACTGTAATGTTATCTGAATAGTGTCTACTGTAAATTTGCTGTTATCACAAGGCTCCAAAGAACGAGAAAGTAAGAAGGACTTGCATGATGTTACTTGGAAGATAACTGACAATGTATTAAGAAATGTTCAAGAAAGAAGTACTGACTACGTGGTTGTTTCTGTGTCCCAGTTGCTTGATCAGGTACAAGTAAAATTGAAGAAGTTTAGAAGTACTTTGACATCAGAATCCAATCCTTATGAACTTGTGAAATTTTATCAAAGTGTAAGCAGCATGCTCTTGAACCAGTGTTTCACACTAGATAACAAAAATAAATTACCAGTGCCCAGTCTGTCATACACTCTTTTCATCCAGGGAATGTCTCAAAGATTTGGAGAGCTAGGGTTAGGCATAATTTATATGAAGTCAGATTTGCCTTTCAACAAAACTGAATATTTGGCATTACGAGCAGGCAGTACTCAACTCCTGAGCATGTCCTTCCACTTCCTTCCAAGGGCAAGAGCCAAGTGGGTGGAACTTCATCAACAGGAGCCTAGTGTATATCAGGTTATGGAGTTAGTGGCTGAAGACATCTTTGTAGGGGGACAACTGCGAGGAAGAAAAGAACTATCAAAGGCCTACCTTGATAGTGTGACAGAAGAATTAGCAATGTTGCTCTTAACCAAAGAAGTCTTAAACACAACATTGGTATCAACTATCGAAAGGCTTACTCAGAGTACTCGCAATACCTTAGCCTTCCATATGTCTATTTGTGTTGTTGCAGTGGTAGCTGTTATATTGTGTCTTATCATTAGCATTTGTGCCTTCTTCAGGTACGTTGGCCAAAGTGAGGTGAACTTTATTAAGTTTAGAAATACCTCAAATGCTGGCTGTACTGAAACTCGAGATAGAGTTCAAATTATATCTGATTATGATGTTTTTAAACCTCAGGGTCATCTGTAGGACATTATATTAAAATTTATACTTAAAAGTAGACTAGGGAATCTCTGTGTATGCACCTTGCTTTT